CAGAACGCAAAGTGTGAATGTAGTGAGAACATGATTGTTGTTCAATAATTTTACTCACCTTGAACGGTAGAATTGATATTTTCCAAATTTTCCAGCACCCTAAAGGCTGTTTATGTCTAAATTTCAAAATACGTTATATTGATGCATATAGAACCCAGGGGGCTGGCGAAATTTGTCATTTTATGCCAATTATTTTCCTACATAAACTGATGTCTAATGTGTATAGTTGATGCCGATCTTTTTTGGGACCTTAGATATAATTTTTGGCAACAAATTTCTTTTTTGTTCTAATGTTACACAGGTACTTGGGTAAATGAACGAAATCGTTTCCTAGAACTTGCTTTGCTCTACAGATTAATAAGCAAAAAGTCCTTGTAAAATCGAGGAAAATTCTTTTGCTTGCTTACAAAGGGGTTTCTGAACAGTCTATAATCCTTACCCTATCGTGCGCAAGCTGAATTTGTCACTTCTGCAAAGGTTTCCTGGACAATCATTTTTGCTTTGAAGTGAAAGTAAATGTATTCAATATCATTGATACATCCCAATTTACGCATCTATGACAAAAATTTGTATGTGGACTAAAGTCCTATTTGAAAAATTTAGAGAATCAATTGAGCAACTAAAAATAGTATTATATTGTAGAATATGCTCTACCTGGATTTTCAATCTGTTCCAATACCTTAAAAAGATTAGCTCTGATTAAGCAAGGTAAAAACGTGGGATCCTACGAGTGACACCTGTAGCACAGCCACATATATAAAGTCACTAGCTGGCTTACCCAACTTCGCCCGGCCCTGTCAAAACATTATGGTACCTATTTCTTCTGTGTTAGTAGTCACATGCTCACTTATCTCCCTGTGCCAATTCCCAGCTTGAATTCTGCAAAAAATCAATACAACCAAGAGAAGTAATCGATAACTTCAAAAATTAATATTGTACTAGTGACATCGTGCCCACTTAACCCACTGCCCATATCCAGCCCCGTAGATCGAACTTTGTAAAGAATCAATAAAATCGATAAAAGTAATAGACAGAAAGTTAAATTTTCTCTCTTCTTCGGACCTGGACATCCGAAATGATGCTAGCAGTTTTTATACGATATTATGCCAGTGTCAGGTTTGTACGGTGGTATTCTTTATTGGCCTTACGTTTCGAATAAACCGTCTTCGTCGGAGGCCTGAAAGTAGATTGCAGTGCTATCTGTGAGACCAGACCGCCAAACGCCTCCTCGCACCTGAGTCTAAACCACTTCCCGCACTCAATGTACTGAAACATGTTGATCAGAAATTAAAGTTCCGCAAGTATATATACTAATGAAAAATCAAAGTAATCAGTTTTGTTATACTGTCTTATGTATTGTTGATTCAACTGGCTGAGGTTCGGCAAAGGCGCGGCTTCGTGACCTAATTAAGGCTAGGTAACGATCAGAGAGCACTGGCGCGCGAGAGACGCAGGTGCGTCGCGGGCGCGAGCGGCCTGCCCTGACGAACCTCAAGCAGTTGAATCAAAGATATATTCTGTCATTTCTAATCATAAGTTGCACATCGCGCATGCAACAACTACTATTATTCAAGTGTGTGCTTTCTATTTCCAAAATATTGTTATAGGTATTGTCCAGTATGTTCAAAATGGTGGTTTCGCTTTATTTGTGAATAAGTAAGTATTCAAGATGTTGAGTAATCAAAATTCCGGAGTCCAGATATCGAAACATACTCGGCACGAGAATGGATGTGATTTTATGATGGATGAGATTAAATTTGTACAACACTGCACTCCAAAGAACTAGCTTTTCAGATAACAAAGACAGAAGAACTGCTTCAAAAAAGTGCGCAACAGATGTTGATTTGCTTCCCCAGGGAGGCATCTTTCATAGCGCTAAAATGAGTGTGCACTTGCACTAGAATTCAAAAAACCTTGCGCTAACACTAGGATTTTCTGTCATTTGCTGTCTCCACCTAAATTCCAGTTTTTTTCTGAATGTTGAATAAGGGAAGCATGAGCAGCATTGATGAAAATGCCAAGATGCAAATCATTTGATATGAAGAAAGGAGGAATTTATTTGATTCGCGCCGTGTCGGCTGACCCCTTGTCAACAGAGGCTTCTGAAAGATTGTGATCATCGATAATTTGAATTCTAAAATCCTGCTGAATTGGAGAGTATGACTACTCGCGACCGAGCCGCTCCTCGATGACGTTTGCCGGAAGCATTGGATTCACTATTCGTTCGGTAGCTGGCTTGGTTGCAGCGTTCTACGGCTCTGATCGCTACCAGACCACTAGGCAGGCAAGCCCCTTCCCTAAAGGCAGTGTCCAGGCTAAATCTAACTCCACCCGATTAAAGGCAGTGTCCGGGCAAAAACTCGATTTTGAGATTTTGTGCTTATACGGGCCTATTCTCCATGCTGAATCCGAAAATCCACATTGGAAAGCGCGAAAACGGCGAAAAAGGGCTCTAAGACAAGAAGGAAATCAGCAGGTGGGCGGGGCTTTCCCCAGTGCGATTTTACGCTCCCAGCTCCCGGAGCGATTTCCTCGAATCCGTTAGCCGTCCTGACATCGCTACCGGTCAAGTGCGAATGATTAACTTGAAACCGGAAGCGAGAAGGTCGCTTCAGAAGCAGGGGACGTGAATTCGCAGTGGGGAGGACCCCGCCCACCTGCTCATTTCCCTCCTGTGTTAGAGCCGTTTTTCGCCATTTTTGCGCTCTACAATGTGTATTTTCGGATTCAGCGTAGCGAATAGGCCTAAGTAAGCACAAAATCTCAAAAGCGAGTTTTTGCCCGGACACTGCCTTTAATGCCGATCTTGAATGTAGACCTCATGAGAGAGGAACCTGCGTTGATCCGGTCCCATGAAGTTGTTCCTGAATGGAGAAATGGACCTGGAACAGCAAATGTGCTATAAAGGCACACCCAGATCCTATCAAACTCCGCTCATTCTGATAGTAAATGGCCCCTGGGTCTTCGGATAGGGCTTTTAGAAATCGGTTTTCAAAGGTTTGGGACAATTTTAACTCCATAACTGTAATCAGGGCCACGGAAAAGTCCTAGAATGACAAAAATATGGAAGGCCAAATTTTGGGTGGACGCTGCCTTAACTACATATAGCGCGTCCTTGCGGCGTGTTCGTGCCTTGCTCGAGAGTATATGGTATATTGAGAACGATAGGATGGTTTGATGCGAAAGGGTTCAAATGCGTGGACGATAACGGACACTCTGTGGAGCTGAGATTGTAATTGTGCGCTAATAAAAATCGCTGGACTGGTGTGAGCAGCACCGCTGCCATATTGCATTTACTGTGCGCGACCTACCTGGGGTTCCTTGAAAATCGGGAGTAAGAGTGTTCAAAAGAGAGAGAGCGTGAGTGAGTAAATGTACCGTAGCCCAAGACGAGATTAGCCTGCCCCATGACATTTCGTCGTTTTTTTTTGCAATTTCGTAATCGCCCTACTCAATAAATGTCATGTATATTTATCTTGTTTTTTTGGAATCGCCATACGAAAGAAGAAGAAGATAAGAAGAGAAGCTGAGAAGAATGTCCCGGGGACTCAACGAAATACTTTGCGAAAGCGAAGCATCGATGATCCGGTCACTTTATGAGAAGAAGACGACAGATGGGCACTAAAAACGTCAGTGTGGATTCCTCGGGAAACGTGTTTGTGGAACGGATGGACTGTTGAGAAATCAGCTGGGTGCGATTTTTGCACCTGGAACTCGTGGACGCAGACCGACGACAACCAAGAAAATCGCTGATGTCTGAAGCCAGGTACAAAGGTTTATTAGAATATGCTGGGGCCGCGTCACGTGAAGACAGGTTATCTAAGTATCTGATCAGGTTTTCTTGGAATTGGCGTCATGCGCCATCGTGTGCAGGAGCCCTGCTCAATTCATACAGAGATTGAACTGTGGTGCATGGCAGTCAAGCATTAGGCGAAAGAACACAGAGCTCAGCGAGCCGCAACATAGAGCAACAACATTCGCTAATGCATAAGTGTAGTAATCCTTCGGTAATTGACGCTCACCATACATCGTTCCAAATAGCCTCTATAAGGCCGTCTTATAAGTGCTTTCAGGTCTGCTGTTAGTCTTGACCTTCACAAAATGGCTTCCGAGCAGCATATAAAGTGACCACGAAGGTGTGTCGCAAATTTCATGAAATTATTGGAAAATTGGTCCTCAATCCAAAACTACGGCCTCTATATACTCCTCATGTCGTAGATTATCTAGAGCTACCACTTTTATCAGTGTGGATTAATCATGTATGCTATATTCCACATCTACTAGCTTGTTATTGACAAACTTTCCTGTTCACTGACCATTTGAGCCACCAGGTCGCGCCTTCACTGTGCTTGACGCTTTTTGGCGGCGCCTACTTTCATGGCAATCCTTCATGCTGTATGATATACTGTTGTTTATCGGAAACGAGCATTTAGATTATCCGCCCCAAATCAGTGACATAAGTTCTGGAGCTGGTTCAACTTACCACGGGCTTTCTCTAGGCGATGCGGCCGCGCGGGCTCGAAACGCTCAAACCGTGCTCGCTCCAAATGAACAGAGGGTAACGGCTGTCAGGCACTCTGCTAGCAATTTGATGAAAATGTTCTGCTTGAAAATAATGATAAATTCAACTGATGAATTCATCTAATAAGGGAAGGAAATGATTCAAACAAAAACATGGATTTATGCACTACAAATATCTCATTTCCAAAATTTTCTTCTTTTTCCTCCTCGCATGTAAGGAGCACGTATTTAAACCTTTGGTCTATTGGCCTGCTTCCCGGAATGATATGTCATTGAAGATTCGCCTATTCGAGTCTAACCAATCACTTCTTGCCCGTTGCCCAGAATCTACGTCGCGATATATGCTGAATCACAGTATCACCCTTGTTATAAAGTGTAGACTAAGTTATGTTGTAGAACGCAACCAAGCAGCTCGCATGGAAACCAACATTGTCAGCTCTCAAAAGTAGAAAAAAATACTTTATTGCGTTTAATTATTGCGTTCAGATAGGTATATGGTTTCTTGGTTAATTCAGCCCGTTTATAATATAAGATCAGGTTGCTATGCTCTTCTTTGTATTCGCTGGAATTGAATTTGTCCTCTTCGTCAGCATAATTCGTGGCTTCTGAAATAAGTATTCTAATTGTGTGCCACAAAAGTCATCGAGCTTTCACACAAGCTACAAGCCACGGTGACGTAAGATGCCTATGAGTCGCTTAGAGACGACTCCAAGAAGAGAGACGCAGACAGTTGACAGCACCGCGTTTCGCAGCTTGCGTAATATATTTTTTCTCTTGTAAAAAGGTTGAGCCTTGGCTTAATCATGCTATGTTAAAAGTAAGTTCCTCACCTCCGTTTTCACTCGACTTGGTCGCGGTGGTAAAGGAACTGTGCGCTGTCCTGAAATATTCAAACTGCCATACACGTTAAATATACTTTTTTGGCTTAGAATGAGTCTCTTTTCATAGTATTACTTTTTACAGCTTATACAGTACATTCGTGGACGCAAAATTTAGCCGACATTCCTCGTCTAGATCGCACTCTTTTCGAGATAACAGCATCATTGGGTACGGTAGCGGGCAAGAGTTAAAGTTGGAATTTTAGCCACGTGAATTATAGGAGCGTTACCCAGTTAGCAATAAGGAACCCTAGCGCCAAATTTGCGTTAACACTGTGTTCGATAAAACAAATGTAAGTGACTCACTGTTATTTATCGTTCCTTGTGACTGTGTCCTCTTCTTCGTGCTGTCCATATCACTCTTCATCGGCGGCAACTTTGATATGACGTTTCGGCACTAAATTCAATACTCTACTACATTTCTTTCTGCTGTCTTACTCTATTAGGAGACAAACCTCCGAATGCAAATCTAACAAGCCCTGACTGGCTTCTGGTGAACTTGACGTCAAGTATTGCAGCATTCGCACTAGATGATCGTCGCCTAACTCAGCTTCGATGCGATCAACTTCTTTTTCAAATTTTATTTCGTCTTTTAGGGCCATCTGAAACTGACATCATTATGTTGTGGATCGTGGTTGAGGCGTATGAAAGTGCAGAAAATTTTGGCGCAGATCATCAATGAAGAAGCAAAGAACGGTTATGGAATCATGTTGAGAGTCTTGAGTTTTTGTAGACTTAGAAAAATGGATAACTATGCAAAAAAGCGATAAGCAGGCGAGACAATTGCCTCACAAATGAAAGAAATGCAAATCAAATTTAGTAGATGTTGTTGTAGCTGAGCCAAGATTGTTACAGAACCTTTATTAGGCCTACGTTTCGGCGTCTCCGCCTTCTTCAGAGCCTTATAGCCTTGCAGTCATGAGTAGGCGACCACCCACAGTGAAGCCAAATGCAAATTTTCCTAGCAAGAAGATGTATTACAATGCTGTGGGAAGCTTCCAAAGAGATTCGATATGCAGCAAAAAACTGGCCATCAAAATTTGACCTAGTTTTGGAAAAAGCAATGCTTCTTTTGTGCAAAACATAAATATGATTATTTTCCAGTACGGTAGTAAATGTTTGAACTGCTACTTAAAATGTAGGTTAGGTGAATTTGGATACGACACGAAAGCAGCACTGAAAAAATGCAGACTAAAAATTCTTTGAGTTGATTGAAAGCTGCTTCCAAAGTTTTTTCTGAGATCATGACTTTTCAGGACATTTGTAAGTACCCCGAATGGATAGAAAACGGTTTCCGACATGTATTAGGCTGTCTCAATATTATCTGACGTTTTCACCTTGAAAATCAGCATTTCTCAAGGACGAGGGCGGCATACAAAGGACATAAATACATGATCGTTCTTCTGAATGGTTGAGCTACATACTTACGCGTATGGCAGAAATTTAGGACTTTAGGAGGTGGAGTTTGCCATTCTACTCCAATCATTTTTTCTCTATTTCTAGTCATGGGAAAAAACGGAACATGTAAGTGTGAGTGCCCGACGTGTTAAGCATATGCTTGGATTGAATGGGAAACTTTTAAGTTGTTTTGAAACGGAGTTACGATTTTTGATGCTAAATTCGTTTTTGACTTCTATCAGAAATCATCTTCAAACTTCATGTGAACTAGGTTTAGGCAGACTCTTGATAGCCATCTTGTAGAGCTCGCTTTGTTCTGTCAAATGGTTACCGAAGTCGCATCATCTAAAGGAAGGACCAAAAAGACGGTGGTCGTAGTAAAAACGGTAAAAAATTATGAGACACCCTAAAACGTTGAGAAATTTTTGGCAGATCTGCCATACACCAGATTTTGCTGCTTTTGTGAACTTTATTTTCGACATAGAAATCCCTCCAAAAATTTATATTCGACCAACGCAAATGCCAAAAGACAAAATATCTTCGCATGAATGATTCTTGAACGGCATTCTAATTCTATGCACAAGAATTCTTTGACAAAATTTCACTATGAGAATGACGTTGTGTCCTTCATCTCAATCCATGAGGAACAACCATGCGATGGAAGCATTTCTCAAGTTACAATAAATTTTCATACGAGAGTTATCGAAATATTAGAGCCTTCTCTTCCTATATTCCATATCTCAATAATTTTTGGAGTGGTGTTGATGAAATTCAGTTTTGGAACTATTGTTTACCCTTAGATTATTTAAAACCTGGGGAACAAAAATAGTAAAGGAACCGAAAGGAGGCAAGCTGACCAACGTAGCGCGTAAAATGACGAGGCAGACTTGCAGTACTTTGGACGCTAAGAAAAAGTCCGAAGTAGTGCATTAGTCTAGTATTAGTTCTCTAACCTCAGCGTAATTTCCCCATTTGGTCTCCTCAAATGAGTTGCTATATCGAGTTGGAGGTAAAGCATGCTTTTAGGCGGGGATTTTCGTCGAACACAATCCACGTCACTGCAAACTTCCAACAAGTTGTAGGAAAAATGGCGAGTGCCTCTTAATGCTACCATTCGGAATGCTTACTACTGCATTATTTTGTGGTTGCGCTTAAAAAATACACTGCTGGAAGGCGGAATTACTTTTGTATGAAATGAAATGTGTTCAAAACAACAGCAAAGGTGTGTTCCAGTAAGAACGAATGCCAGGAGTCGGCGAAGCTTAGTTTTACAGATAGCATGTGATAGTGCTTATTTATTGCCGCGTTCAAAAAGTTCTCAGTGCAATGACCATTCTAACTATAGCAGCAGAAGGGATAAATTCTTACTTCGTCCTTTCTTGTTTCGAATATTATATTAGGGTGAACGGTAAAAATGGGACAGCTTGATTTTTATCACATTTTGAGGTTTTTTGTTCTCACCAACAACGAGCAGGCTGCAACTCAAACGTCGCTCACGTAACCGACCTTCGCCTATTATACTGGCAACGCGTTACCGCTTCTTTCTCACAACCGCACTCGTGGTGCCGTGAAGAATTCAGACAGATTTGGAACAATTTTCAATCTTGCGCTGCTATACCGTAAAGTCATAAAGCGAATGACATATCATTCAAAAGAGCTCTTCGCGCTCGCGCTCTTTCAAACGATATGTTAAACGCATAAGATTTCTTTTCAATTTCAAGAGAAAAAGCGAAAAATAGCTATTTTGGCGCAATAAAAAATCACAAAAATCATGTTTTGCCCTATATTTTCCGAATATAGATAAAATCTGAGGTAAGCTGCATACGGATGTATATAGCGTAAAAAGCTCTATCAGATGGTACCTAGAAAAATGCGTTCACCTGCAAAGAATTTCTTTGTTCTCGAAGCCGCTAATGGCCATATCTCCTGACTTTGGTCGAGGCTACCAAGGCATCGTGAGTTTAGCGACTGTCCCATCACCCACTCCAGCAGGTGGTACTTCGGGTGGTCTCACATGTTTCACTGCGCAGATACTGCTCAAACTTCATGATTTGTCGAAATGACTAACTTTGCATTTCAGCAAGTATAAAAATTATCAATTGTGAATGACCTTATATAGGTATTGTCTGAAAGAGAACAACATATTCTAACATCTACCAAAATTGAAAAATCTAATCACTTCTCTTTCTTGAGAAACGTCCAGTTATTTCATAAGTGCCCCATTTTTTACCGTTCACCTTAATAGAATCAATTTCGCTTTCTAGAAGTGTATTTCTCGAGAGGTACAGAATGTAATCCTAGTAATCATTCCAAAATGACAGGAAGCAACTCTCAAAAATAGACTTCACGACTTCACGAATGTATATCAGAAAATTGCGTAATGTGTCCACATGGAAGGAAAGGAAACTGCGCTAAAGTGCGAGTTGTGTTCCAAATATAATTGCTCAGTTGCAACACGCTGTATATTTGAAATAGTACGAGTACTGAGCATTTGCATAAGAACATCTGGTGGGAGACGAACAATCTGGCAGCATCGCTTGGTAAGCACAGGAACGAGGTTCAAGATGGAAGGAAGTGATCCAAAGTTGAATGTACGATGTACGATACTACTTTGAAAAAGAGATCCCAGCTTGGAAGGCGATTTCTGGATCTTTTCTAATTTGTACCAAAAATCCGAGGATGAACAACAAGAATGAGTACTTGTCGATACCTACTAAATCCTAATTGTATCCTTATGCGAGCTACAGAGTGTAGATAACATTCACTGCACACTTTACTGTGTAGCTCAGTCGTATGCCACCACTTATTGTGGGTGGACACATAGCGGTGGTACAAGGGTAGGTTCATTTTTGCCTTGTCAATTTTTGCGAAGTAAACTCTCAACGTCGAAAATAGCAAGATTAGAGGAGGCAATAGTTAGCCTGGTATCGCAGGTTTGATTTTGAATCAATTCCAGCCTCTGAAGACGAAGCTATTGAAACGTTAGGTTGATTAAATAAACTTGCCACCACAACAAACCTGTTCGGTACAGCGGAGTTCTACACTACCAACGATGCTTAGATTCAAAGAGATTATTATTCAAAACGATGAAATTGCACCCAGGACTACCATTCGTGGAAAATTATGTAGTCCCATGATTCTATAAGAAGTTCGCTGCGAAAGATGGAGTGTTCAAGTAGTGCGTCAATCCCAAGAGACTCAGATAAGCGGACACTGCATAAAGTCAGTCAAGTGCTAAAGTGGTCTATCCAAAGTTTTTAAAGTTAAAAAGTTTTTTTTCTAGAAAAAAAATTAGTGCAAGAACAATTTTTCACAAAGCCGTTGCACTAGCCGTTGCACTTGCACTTCAAAGTTTATAAAAGGAAACTATTGCAAACTACTATAACAACATTGCAACTAAATTTTTACATTGAGCCGTTGCCTTATAGCAAAAGTTGTTGGGGACTTTCATTGAAAAAAAACAAACTTAGTCGATAGGTAAATGGTTGAATATCATATGCTCAACATTGATTTGATCAGTATATACTTAATTCAAGAGAATGTGTAAGCTTTGCGACGAAAGAAAATGAGAAGTTTGCTTCTAAAAATTACTATTATGAGCAGGCTGCTACATAAGACCAGTTCCAAAATTCATTAGTGAGATGGTAATTTTAGGCTTGAAATGAGGTTTTACAACGGTCCTTTACTTGTAAGCATTCCCAACATCGTTGTATTCAGTAGATCTCAACGTCGTAACCATGTTACATACTCACGCATTCGATAATCTACCAAAAAAGTTTCCGCAACTTATTTATCAAACACTTTTAAAACGTTTACATAGTGCTCTGAGCTCAGCACAGGGTGGTACTTTTAATTTTGAAAACGAAGTCACATATAATTTTCAGTCACGAATTACCTTTTACAGTATGAAACAGAGGCATGGCTCAAGGATACTCAGCAATGGTGACTGAATATAAGGGGAGAATGGGCGAAAGAAAAGAAGAGAAAAAACAGTGAATACCGAAGGAGGGTGTATGGCATACGTAACAAAGGAGAAGTTGAAGCTTGGCAAGTTTTTAGACCTTGATCAAAATAAATTCATGTAAAAGAATGATTTATGTAGTCAATTCTGATTCCGGAGGACGAGTGGCGTAGTAGTATGAGGCGCCGCTATGACCAGATCGGACACAGGTTCGGTCCCCGCCCCTAGGCCAACCAAGCCCTCTACCCTC